TATTCTCCACCCAATAAAGCGCGAGACTCATTCCAGAACGCCTGCTAAGAATCGCGAGCTGCCCGGACACAGTCCGCACAAGCCCGCTCACCTGCGTGCTCAACTCGTCGATCTCGCCCGTCAATGTCCGCGGGTGTCGGAACACGCAAACCACCTCCAGTGGGCCAATGCGACCTTTGGGAAGATATCCGCCTTCCGAATCCGCGTGAACTCGTGGCGCAGTCACGAGAGTTATGTCCTCACTTCTGCGTGAGTGAGCTACGCTGCGCGCTCGGGGCGGCTTCTTCCGCCCCCCGTCGCTGAACCTGAACGAGGGGCGGTCATCGTTGATGTTGCCGTCTATCACTCTGAGGGGTACCTCTCGGCCCATGCTGCCCTTGGTGACAGGGTCGGCCGCGCGCGCCCCGGGCGTCGCGCCGGCGCGCGCCGTCGATCTGCTCGGCGCGCAGCCGGTCGGCTAACCACCACAGGTGGCCAGCCATGCTGTTCTCGGACGGCGGCCAGACCAGGCCCGCGAGCAGGTCGCCGCAGACGGGCGCACCGCCCACGGCGAGGCCCGTGGGCACGGCCCACGAGGTCGGCCACCCCCTGACGCAGTCGTCGCAGGCCTCGCGCGGCGAGGCCGAGGGCGACGGCGACGCCCCTGCCCAAATTGACCACTGGTTGCGGCCAACGGCTTGCCGCGAGCCGCCCGACGTAGAGCTCCGAGCAGCCGCTGGCGCTGACGGCCGCGGCGCGGGCGCCGCTGGAGTTGGCCGTCCGCCGCTTTCACGGGCCAGCGCTCTGCAATGGGTCGCCGTTCCCAGCGCCCCTGGTCACAGGCCGTGGAGCCCTGGAAATGCCCCCGGACATCCGCGCCGCGCGCGCTCCCGGCACGGGCCGCTGCACGGTCGGCCCTGGCCGCCCCTGTTACCCCGGAAGAGCAAGTGGCGAGGGCGACGGCGCTCGCGACGGCGCCGGGGCGTAGGCGCCGAGGAAGAGAGTGCGCCATCGGAGTCGCGCTCGCGGCATGTAACACGCACCCCGTCAAGAACAACGGGGTTGCCTTGGCGGCCTGAACCCGAGCCCCCGCCCCAGGGCCCCCCGCCCCCCCCCCCACCCCCGCCCGCCCAAAGCCCGCGGTGGTCTCTCGGAGGTCGTGCTCGGACAGGGCGGCGAGGAAATTTGCAGTAGCTTCTACCCTTGCCCTTGCCCTGCCGTTCGATGACCCCCC